TATCAAATAAAAGAAATTCATTTTCCATTTCATAATATAATATTATAAATAAAAAGTATATATCATATAATAAGCTTATTTGTTGATAAATTAAATATTAACATAAAATATAAATAAAATAAATTATTTTAAAAAAAATTAAAAATAATAATAGGCCGCGTTATATTTCGCCAAATAGTTTTCGCTATATTGTCTTCGCGATTTATGTTTCGCGATATTAACTTCGCTATAAAATTTTCGCGATTATTGATTCGCGATAAAAATTTCGCGATAAGAGTTTCGCTATAAAAAATTCGCGATATTTGTTTCGCTATATTCTTTTCGCGGAAAAATATTCGCTAATGTGGATTCGCGATAAAAGTTTCGCTACGAAAAAGTGTTTCGCGATAAAAGTTTTGCTGAATTGACATGGAACCATATGATACAATTAACATCCTATAAATTAAATGTTTAGATTTTATTTTCGTTAGAATTACACTATATTTTAACCCATTTACATCAAAGAACTTTAAAAATAAAGATTATAAAATTGTTACTTTTCAATGGTATATCTTTATGAAATTTTAATTTAGCATGTTTACAATCTATATTTTAACCCATTTGCAACAAAAATATTCAAAAAAACCTTATTAACAACGATTATGACAATTGATACTTATCTATGGTACATCTTCGCTGAAATTTTATTTTATCATGTAAGTTTATATTTTTGCCCATTTGCGTCTAAAAAATTCAAATAATTTTAAAAATAACGATCATGACAATTATCACCTTTCTATGGTACATCTTCATGAAATTTTAATTTAGCATGATTACAATCTATACTTTTACCCATTTACAACAAAAGAATTCAAAATAAACAACGATTATAACAATTGTAACTTATCTATGGTACATATTCACTGAAATTTAATTTAAACATGTTAGCAATACTTATTTTAGCCCATTTACAAAAAAATTCAAAAAAGTTATAAAATAACGATTATGACAATTGTCACTTTTCAATGGTAGATCTTCATGAAATTTTAATTTAGCATGTTTACAATCTAAATGAAATTTCAAATAACGAATATGACAATTGTCACATTAAAATATTATCCTTAAAAAGATCATAAAATAACATAAATAAGTTAAATATAAATATTTAAAAAAAAATTATTTAGCTACCTCTTCTAATATACTTAAGAAATAGATACTTTTACAAAAATGATAAAAAAACTATAAAAGATTTCACCTAAAAATTGTATATTTATAATAAATTTCACAAAATAATTCCTTAAAAAAGATATATTTACAAAGAAGATATAAAATTTTTATCATAATATGTTCAAAATTTTTTTGAACTTCAAGATATATTTTTTTACTTAAAATCTTGGGCGTGAAAATCACTAATAAATTGTAACAAAAATAATATTACAATAGTAGCATATCATTTTTTATTAAAAAACATCAAATAATAAATAATATGTTGTTTTCCTTTAAATAAATGCATTCGCAATATATTTATTGTTTCGCGGTAATGCCCTCGCGATAATGACTTCGCGCAAACATATTCGCGATAAAAAATTCGATGTAAAGTGTTCGCATAAAACGCTAAAATATATTCGCTCTAATAAATTCGCGATTAATGTTTAGCGGAAAATTCGCGATAAAGGCTTCGCGAAATTATCGATTTGTTTTATTGTTTGGAATGTAATTTTATTTTAACATATTAACAATTTATATTTTTGTCCATTGTCATTTATCTAGGGTACATCTTCACTGAAATATTATTTTAACATGTTAGCAATTTATATTTTAGCCCATTTGCTTCAAAAAAATTTAAAAACTTTTAAAAATAACGATTATAACAATTGTCACTTTTATATGGTACATCTTCATGAAATTTTAATTTGACATTTTTACAATCAATATTTTTACCCTTTTGTATCAAAAAATTTTAAAAAACTTCAAAAACAACGATTATGTCAATTGTCACTTATGTATGGTACATCTTCATTGATATTTTATTTTATCATGTTAGCATTTTCTATTTTTGCCCATTTGCTTCAGAAAAATTTAAAAAACTTTAAAAATAACGACTATGACAATTGTCACTTATCTAGGGAACATCTTCACTGAAGTTTTATTTATACATGTTAGCAATTTTTTTTTTGCCCATTTGCGTCAAAAAAATTCAAAAAACTTTAAAAATGATTATAACAATTGTCACTTATCTTGGGTACATCTTCACTGACGTTTTATTTAAACATGTTATCAATACTTATTTTGGCCCATATACTTCAAAAAAGTTTAAAAATAACGATTATTACAATTGTCACTTTTCTGTGGTACATCTTCATGAAATTTTAATTTAACAAGTTTACAATATATATTTTTACCCATTTGCATCAAAAAAATTCAAAATAAATTGTCACTTATCTAAGGTACACCTTCACTGAAGTTTTATTAATACATGTTATAACAATACTTATTTTAACCGATTTACGTCAAAAAAATTTAAAAAACTTTAAAAATAACGATTATGATAATTGTCACTTTATATGGTGCATCTTAATTAAAATTTTAATTTAACATGTTAAAAATACATATTTTACCATAAAAAAAATCTAATATGTTTAAAAATACCGATTATGATAATTGTCATTTTTCCAAGGAACATCTTCAATAACGAATATAAATGTCAGATTAAATTATTATCCTTAAAAAGATTATATACATAAATAAGTTAAATAAAAATATTTTTAAAAAATATTATTTAGAAAACCCACCTCTTTTAATATACTTAAAAAATAGATAATTTTACAAAAATGATAAAAAAAACTATAAAAGATTTCACCTAAAAGATTGTTTATTTATTATAAAATACAAAAGAATTCCTCAAAAAATATTAAAATTTTTATCAAAATATGTTTAAAAATCTTTTTGAACTTCAAAAAATATTTTTTGCTTAAAATTTTTGGCGTGTGAAAATCACTAATAAATTGTAACAAATATTAATATTACAGTAGTAGCATATCATTTTTTTTATTAAAAAAATATCAAATAAAAGAAATCCATTTTTCATTTCATAATTAATATAAATAAAAAATATATATATCATATGATATGTTTATTTGTTGTTAAATAAATTATTAACATTAAATATAAATAAAATAATAGGCCGCGTTATATTTCGCGAAATATTTTTCACTATATTGTCTTCGCGATTTATGTTTCGCGATATTAACCTCGCTATAAAATTTTCGCGATTATTGATACGCGATAAAAATTTCGCTCTAATGTATTCGCTTTAAAGATTTCGCGATAAGAGTTTCGCTATAAAAAATTCGCGATATTTGTTTCGCTATATTATTTTTGCGGAAAAGTAATTCGCTAATGTGGATTCGTGATAATAGTTTCGCTATAAAATTCATTCGCGATAAACGACATTCGCGATAAACGACATTCGCGATAAACGACATTCGCGATAAAAGTTTCGCGAAAAGTGTTTCGCGATAAAAATTTTGCTGAATTGACATGGAACCATTGAGGCATAGATCATAAAATAATGTAAAATACAAAATAAATAATTAAAAGCGAAAGCAGCAAAAATTATTCAAAACCTCCTTCATCTAATCATCAGGAGAGATCGAATTAATAAAACAAACATAAATAGCCTTAAGAATGGCTAAAGCGATCCTCTGCCTTAAGTAAAAACCTTCGCGAGGCTCCTCAGAATTTTTTCTGATTAGGCGGCCAAAGTCTTTAAAAAAGTTTTAGCCAAATCACCAAATGATGGGTATGAATATGTAATTTGAGGAATCAGCCCTGTATTTGCTGATCTTAAAATTTTGAGCTCTGTTCAGAGCGTCCTTGTTAAAATCAGAGGGGGAGTTAGTGTCCAGACAAGAGAAATCCCATATTAAAAACTTTTCTTGAGACCATGGGATACGTGTGACCCCATCAGGACGCCTACTATCGAAAAATAAGCAAGAAGGCTCCATTGAGGTAGGAAAACCAGCTGACCTAAGTGTAAGAGATATAATTTGTTTGCATTTCAAGTGTCGAGTTTACTGACAGGGATTACGATTGCAATGTAAAGGATGCAGCGCCATATTGTTATCATCAGTAAGATATTTGCTGCATTTATATGGTAATGAAAAGGGAATGTTGAGCCTGATACATAAAGCATAGCTGAGCTCATAGTTGTCCAATTCGAGTTTGAGATTGGTAGATGGAATAACATCTAAAAATTCATATCCTCGATCTTTGATAAGTTTAATAAATGTGGATCTAGCCAATGGTAATAGACTCGAAATAAGGTAATCAAATGAGTTTTTCACAAGTGGTAAATCCCAATCCTTCTGCTTTACAGAGATCAAAAATAGGGTTGAGGTTGTGACGGATTTTGCCAATTCTATCTTAGCTGTATTCAAAAAAGGATCGTAAACCGACAAATGTTGTCAATTAATATACGTGCTTGAAGGTGGCTGGCAATGAAGGCACATATTGAGATCGACAATGAGGATCTTATACCAAGGCCGCCATGTTAAGAAGGAAGTGTGGCTTGATGCCAAGCTGTCTCTAAATTTGATATTTATGCAGTCGCTAAGGATGACTTTTATTCTGGTTTCGAATCTCACTAAATGCTCCCTCTCTAAAAATAATGGGCTCGATCGTAGGGCATAAAGGATTTCAGGGATATTGAAGAAATTCCGTATTAAAAAAAAGGCCCTGTGAGCCGAAAGACAAGGAAGAATGCGTTTTAAATTTTTAAATATATCGACCATATCGCTAAAAAAAAGAATTCACTGACTCCTCACCAATGGGAGTGCCAAAATTTGATAGATTTTTCAAGGGGACATGCTTGAAACCAAAAACGTTTTGTTTTGGGAAAATTATATTCCCACATCCTTTTTTATAGAATGTTAAATTATCATTTCAAAATGTAATAATTCCTCGAAAAAAATACCATTTTGTGATGATAATAGAATAGCTGGTGACATGATGTCAATTATTTGATTTTAGCAAAAACTGGTATTTTCGTAAATAACCTTTAAAAATCCTTTGAAGACAAGTTTCCCTTATATTATGACTATAGAAAATATCAAAGCTTTGGAAATTTACGATAGTCGGGGAAATCCAACTCTTGAAGTAGATTTAAAAACAGATCAAGGTAAAAGTATTTTTTCGATATTTAGTAAAATATTCATAGGATGTTTTGTCTCTATGGTTCCAAGTGGAGCTAGTACCGGAATTCACGAAGCTCTGGAATTAAGGGACAATGATCCTAAAGTTCATAGTGGAAAAGGAGTCTTGAAAGCAATCAAAAATGTGAATGAAATCATTTCTCCAGAATTGATTTCAAAAGTAATTTTTGCCATATAATACTCAAATTTTTTATTGTTAGAAAGTTGATGTTTCAAATCAAACTGAAGTTGATAAATTGATGATTAGCCTAGATGGAACAATAAATAAATCTAAGCTTGGTGCAAATGCAATTCTTGGGGTATCCATGGCCTGCTGCAAAGCTGGTGCTGCTAAAAAAGCGGTACCTTTATATCAACATATTGCTAATTTATCTGGAAATAAAAACCTTATACTTCCAGTCCCATCATTTAATGTAATTAATGGAGGTTCACATGCAGGAAATCAATTAGCAATGCAAGAATTTATGATTATGCCTGTTGGAGCTTCAAACTTTAGAGAGGCTATGAGAATGGGAACTGAAACATATCACACATTAAAAAAATTGTTAAAAGATAAATATGGGCTTGCTGGTAACGTCTATTCTCATTTTTGATATAAAATAATTATATATAGCCACTGCTGTTGGGGATGAAGGGGGTTTTGCTCCAGAAGTCAATGATGCAAAAGAAGGTATATTATATTTTACAAAATTAGATATAAATTTTCAATAGTTCTTGAAATTTTGACCCAAGCTATAAATCAAGCTGGTTATAAAGGCAAGATAAAAATAGCACTTGATGTTGCTGCTTCAGAATTTTTTAAAGATGGAAAATATGACCTACAGTTTAAAAATCCTAAATCAGATAGATCAAAATGGGTATATTTTAAAATACCTGAATACTTAATATTTAAATATAGCTTAGTGGTGAACAACTTTCAGACTTTTATGTTGAAATGGTAAATACTTATCCAATTATTTCAATTGAGGATCCTTTTGATCAAGATGATTGGCCTAGTTGGCAACATTTTTTTCAAAAAATTGGTGACAAAATATCTATTGTTGGGTATATAATTTTATTTAAGATTAGTTCTTATAAAAATTTTTAGTGATGACCTTACAGTCACTAATCCAACAAGGTATATATTAATTTCATTTAAATTATGATTAATTATTTTTAGGATTCAAAATGCTATTGATAATAAAGCATGTAACTGCTTACTTTTAAAAGTAAATCAAATTGGATCATTAACTGAATCTATTCAAGCGTAATTAAACATTAAATCAATTTAAACTTTTTGTCATAGTTCTCAATTGGCGACAAAGCATAATTGGACTGTTATGGTCTCACACAGAAGTGGTGAAACTGAGGATTCTTTTATTGCAGATTTAGTTGTAGGATTAGGAACAGGAAAAGTTTTAGAAATCAAAATTCTTGCCTTATATGTTTTTTAGATTAAAAGTGGTGCTCCCTGTCGTTCAGAGAGATTATGTAAATATAATCGCTTACTTCATATTGAATATGAATTGGGACCTGCTGCAAAATATGCTGGATCTCTTAGCCAAAAATAATTTAGAATTTCTTAAAGCATTTTAGAAAATATCAAAAAAAGTTAATTGATCAATCATAAATAATTAATTTTTAATCAATCAAATATAAGTAATTTATATTATTTTAGTCAAACAATTACATTTTTTAGTTTATTTGCCTATTTGCTTTATTGACTTAAATATTTTTTGTCAATTGTTTGAAAATTTTAGCATTAATTAGTGTAATTATATATTAAATGAATATAATTATGGTTGTATAATATATATTCCTTCAATTCATACATAATTTATTTAAGTGACTTTGGTACCAGACCTTTTACTTGTCTGATTCAGGGGTAGACTGACCAGTAAGATGGTAGGAAGAGATTTACAAATTTGGGGGCCTCCCTTAGTAAAGAAAAAAGAATTTTTTTAAAAAAATTGGAATAAAATCTAAATATGTTTTAATACAAATTTTTTTAAAAATATTACAAATTTAAATAATTATTAAACATTAATTTAAATATCTGGTGGAATTATAAGCACTATAAAAAAAATTCATTCATTTAAAAATAAAACCATTTTATTTTAAAATAAATAGCCACAAGTAAAAAAAATTAATTTATGCAATTATAGTTTATATATAGCAGAGTTGTTAAACGCTATTTTTAAAAGTAGCGCGCTACCGCTATAGCTATTTGTCAAAAAAAGTAGCGCGCTACCGCTTTCGCTATTTGTCAAAAAATGTAGCGCGTTTTAAGCTACTTTTTATAAAAAAAATTTTAGAAACAAATGAAACAAATTTTTTTTATTTTTTTTTTGCTTATAATGTAAATGTATAATAAATAATATATAAAAATCAACATTTATAAATATAAAAATATAGTTAATTTAGATTATAAAAAAATAAGCAATACAAATAAATATTTATTTTAATTTGTTGCATTTTAATAATAATATCATTTCAATATTATCATCCCCAAGTCTAGAGCGACGATCAGAAAGTATAAGCTTTGCTTTACTAAATAATCTCTCGACACTAGCACTTGAGGGCAAGTAAGCTCTAAAAATATTTGGGAATGACTAAAATACGCGTCCCCGAAAACTACGCGTCCCCGGTCAAAACGACTTATTTCTATTATTATTAATAGGAAATCTTATTAAGCTTTATAAGATAAGTTATAAAATGTTTTTTTTAATTTAAAAAAAATACGGTAACTATATAAAATTTACAAAAATTTATTTTTTTAAAAAATAAACTACGCGTCCCCGGTCAAAATACAGTTTTTTTTAAAAAATCAAAACGGATTCATTTTTAGCTCATTAAAAGAATACAGAATATGTAAATATTATATTTTAAACTATTTTATAACTTGTGATTTTTTCAAAAAACACTTTTTTTTTTCAAAAACACTACGCCTCCCCGGTCAAAAAACCGTTTTTTTTAAAAAATAAAAGCAGATTCATGTTTAGCTTTTCAAGGAGATTCAGAAAATAGTATTAATAAAAAAATTTAAAAAAAAAATTAAAAAAAAAATTTTTTTTTGGCTAAACTACGCGTCCCCGGTCAAAATACAGTTTTTTTAAAAAAATCAAAACGGATTCATATTTAGCTCATTAAAAGAATACAGAATATGTAAATATTATATTTTAAACTATTTTATAACTTAGTGATTTTTTCAAAAAACACTTTTTTTCGAAAACACTACGCGTCCCCGGTCAAAAAACCGTTTTTTTTAAAAAATAAAAGCAGATTCATGTTTAGCTTTTCAAGAAAATTCAGAAAATGGTATTAATAAAAAAAATTTTTCGAAAAATTTTTTTTTTGGCTAAACTACGCGTCCCCGGTCAAAATACAGTTTTTTTAAAAAAATCAAAACGGATTCATATTTAGCTCATTAAAAGAATACAGAATATGTAAATATTATATTTTAAACTATTTTATAACTTAGTGATTTTTTCAAAAAACACTTTTTTTTCAAAAACACTACGCGTCCCCGGTCAAAAAACCGTTTTTTTTTTAAAATAAAAGCAGATTCATGTTTAGCTTTTCAAGGAAATTCAGAAAATAATATTAATAAAAAAAATTAAAAAAAAAAATTTTTCGAAAAAATTTTTTTTGGCTAAACTACCCCTCCCCGGTCAAAATAGTTTTTTAAAAAAAATCAAAACGGATTCATATTTAGCTCATTAAAAGAATACAGAATATGTAAATATTATATTTTAAACTATTTTATAACTTAGTGATTTTTTCAAAAAACACTTTTTTTTTCAAAAACACTACGCGTCCCCGGTCAAAAAACCGTTTTTTTTAAAAATAAAAGCAGATTCATGTTTAGCTTTTCAAGGAGATTCAGAAAATGGTAAAAAAATTTAAAAAAAAATTTTTTTTGGCTAAACTACGCGTCAACGGTCAAAATACAGTTTTTTTAAAAAAATCAAAACAGATTCATATTTAGCTCATTAAAAGAATACAGAATATGTAAATATTATTTTTAAAGTATTTTATAACTTAGTGATTTTTTGAAAAATCACTTTTTTTTTTCAAAAACACTACGCGTCCCCTTTTTAAAATAAAAGCAGATTCATGTTTATCTTTTCAAGGAGATTCAGAAAATGGTATTAATAAAAAAATTAAAAAAAAAAAAATTTTTCGAAAAATTTTTTTTTGGCTAAACTACGCGTCCCCGGTCAAAATACAGTTTTTTTTAAAAAATCAAAAAGTCGATCTTTCATCAAACAATAACAATATCAATCATCTAAGAATCACCTTGTACGCAGATGACCTGGTTTCAATTACCAAGTCAAGAAATGAGACAATAGACTTACTAACAAATCTCTGCTTCCACAGAAACAAAGTCGGCCTAACAATCAACTTCAATATTTTTGACCGGGGACGCGTAGTGTTTTTGAAAAAAAAAAGATTTTTCAAAAAATCACTAAGTTATAAAATACTTTAAAAAATAATATTTACATATTCTGTATTCTTAAAATGAGCTAAATATGAATCTGTTTTGATTTTTTTAAAAAAACTGTATTTTGACCGGGGACGCGTACTTTAGCCAAAAAAAATTTTTTTTTATTAATACCATTTTCTGAATCTCCTTGAAAAGCTAAACATGAATCTGCTTTTATTTTTTAAAAAAAACGGTTTTTTGACCGGGGACGCGTAGTGTTTTCGAAAAAAAGTATTTTTTTAAAAAATCACTAAGTTATTAAATACTTTAATATATAATATTTACATATTCTGTATTCTTTTAATGAGCTAAATATGAATCCGTTTTGATTTTTTAAAAAAAACTGTATTTTGACCGGGGACGCGTAAGGACGCGTAATTTAGCCAAAAAAAATTTTTTTGGAAAAAATTTTTTTTATTAATACCATTTTCTGAATCTCCTTGAAAAGCTAAACATGAATCAGCTTTTATTTTTAAAAAAAAACGGTTTTTTGACCGGGGACGCGTAGTGTTTTTGAAAAAAAAAGTGATTTTTCAAAAAATCACTAAGTTATAAAATACTTTAAAAAATAATATTTACATATACTGTATTCTTTTAATGAGCTAAATATGAATCTGTTTTGATTTTTTTAAAAAAACTGTATTTTGACCGGGGACGCGTAGGGACGCGTAATTTTTTAAAAAAATAAATTTTTGTAAATTTTATATAGTTACCGTATTTTTTTTAAATTAAAAAAAACATTTTCTAACTTATCTTTTAAAGCTTAATAAGATTTCCTATTAATAATAATAGAAATAAGTCGTTTTGACCGGGGACGCGTAGTTTTCGGGGACGCGTATTTTAGTCATTCCCAAATATTTAATCAGATCAATTTATAAATATAAATAAGTTTTTACCTTCTGTTATGTGTCCAACTATCTGCCGGTGTACATACATAAGATATATCTGATAACTCTACTATTAGAGCATCTTTCATCACTTTGAAGTTGTCTGCTATTTTATTCATAAGTGTCTAAAATAAATAATATTATAATGTAAAAATAACAATTTACCTTTAGGTGTTTCTTCAGGTTATAGCTACTCGATTGATTTGATGATATATTTTTTTTACATTTTAAGCACAGGAATTTGAATCCAGATTTTGTTTTAATATTTATTTTAAAAAATTTTTCAAATCTAGGGAATGGGAAATCGTTATTAGAGCTATTAAGTACATTTTCTTCCATTGAATCTTCTATGTCCGAATCACTTTCAAGGATTTGGATATCCATGGGCGATGCCATTTAAGATTATTAACACAGATTGAAAATATAAATTAAAAATTGAAAATATATTTAAATTTCAAAATTAAATAATAAATTATAAAAATTATAATTAATTATGATATTATATTTAAATTTTGTTTATATTTACATTCATTATATTTTTTAAAAGTAGTGCGCTAAAAAATTAAATAATTTTAAAAAAAGTAGCGGCTATTAGCTATAGCTACCAAAATAGATAGCGCGCTACTTTAACAACTCTGATATATAGAAAGCACAAAATTTTTATTATAATATAAATTAAAAATAAAAAACAATTCATTTTTTTATTAAGCTTAAGTTAAAATGAAATTAAACCCAGAACTACTAAGTATAAGTATTAAGAAAATTTATAATACCCCCCCCCCCTCCCCCACTAAAATGAGCCATATTTGTTTAACAAGCATAATCCAATGTAAATGTTTAAGGAATTTACTAGGCTAGAGTGGAATTTTTACTTCAAATATATTGTTGTTTATTAATGATCTTATCATTCAAACATAACATCAACCTTTTCTCTGACATAGATCATTAAATATAAAGAAAAAAATATATAGACAACCTATGGCTATTTTATCAAAATGAAATATCCCCCTTTTTCTCATAAAGCTGGAATTAAATTCAAACTAGTTTTTCTTTTATTATAATTCTTATTTCTAATATTTAATCTAAGCCATATAAATTCCTTACAAGATCACCTGGATCCTTATAAAAATTTCTTAATTTCAAGTTGTATAACCAAATGGAGGTAAACAAATACAAAAACTTTAAAAAATTTTCAATACTTTCATAAATTTTTACTAAATTCCTGTTAATGCCTTATT